AAAACTTGTCTCGAAATACTCACTAATTTAGGCTTTTACGATGGAACGATATTAACACAAAAGCGATATAGAACGGTGTTTCCATTCTGCGCAAACTATCTCAAGTTGCTTCTCTGAACAGAAAAATTTTTCTACGAAAAATTGCTTGCTTTATTGACCATTGCATCACCTACTTTAGCATAGCAACAAAGCAAAGACGTTTCTATGACAAATACCAGCGGAAATGAGTTTTTGACTCTTTTGAACAGTTTTAACAGTTGATGTACGCCATTTTGACAAAGAAAAAATATCCTACTACCAGCGGAAAGCTGTTACGACGCAGAAAATTTGGCACTTCAAGTGATTATTCAGTGAAAATCATAGCAAAGCTGTATTAGCTCAAGAGTTTTTTCTAATTATTATAAGGTTTAACTAATTGAGATTTAAGATTCCTTGTCGGTCCCTAACTCAACAAACCTCAGCGAAGCCGAATGCAAGTGCAATGGGTCCTTCGTAATCCAAATGTCGTCTACAACGAGATCGCTTTTCTCAATGGATATTTGTTCCAAATGAATATGTGTCGAGTTAACAACAGAGAGGATAGAGTAGCCATAGTCATTGATTCTAAACAGCACGTTTGTAGGACATCCCGCTGAGAAAGGAAAGTTGTTTCTAACCGTGCAGCGCTGAAAGGTAATGGAGGATTGGAGAACTGTGCATACGGTGTGTGACATCCCTAAACATTTCTGTTCTTACAAGCAATAAGGGAAGCACAAAGAAAATTTACCGCTGATCCGCTGATGATATAAACGGGAGCCTTTGGATTGTTGTAGGCGGCAGTCTTATGAATAATTTTAAGTAAGTAGTAATTTAGGCACTAATTAAAGCTACCATCAATTATGCAAAATGAAAAGAAATCTCATCTACATCGTTCCAAAACTGCTTGTCTGCAATAGGATAAAACCGCTCGTAAGAATGCTCGTGACCCCAAAAAGACAAATCCACGCTTTGCTGAAGGTAGAGTGGTTCAAGTCCGGGCATATCAAGCCATCCAGTGCGAATCTAAAAGCTTCCGGAGTTCAGGAAATATTGCATCGCTAAGATAAGTCTGTTCTATTTGAGTTGCGCTATTGCAGTATACTAATCGCTGAAAAACTTTTATTTCCCGCAGTCTAACTTGCATATTAACATGAGATTGTCGGATAATTGCGTACGCTTTTTCTTCCGTTTCATTCTCAGGGAAGCAAAAGGTTTTGGTAACGCTTTGTATGATTACATACTATCTAAAAGAAATATCTTTTTAAAAGAGTGTGTTTGCTCAGATTTGCCAAATCAAAAGTGGTTGAAATTGAAATTTCAAAAAATAGGTCAAAGGACAGTTTAATTTTCCTAAAATGCGAGAAGGTCGGAATTTGCTATCACGGTATTTAGTTTAATCGGATGTGCTGATTACACGTACCCAATTTTTACGACAAGACTTACTGTTGGATTACGGTAGATGAACGCGAAGATTAAAATCACCTTGTCTGAAAAGTTCTATTGACACTAATTGAAAAGCTGTTTACAAAAAT